CGGAATAGCTTGGCTCACACTGATATGCTAAGGTATCGTGACATACGGAACTACAAACTGCCCTACCCTACTTTGTTGTGTGAACTCAGCCCAGAGGACTGGAAACTGTTCATAATTGCTCATTTTTAGTTTTTATCCAATGTGGTTCATTTCGTCCTTGCCTTCCTCTCCTACAGATGCTCTCTTGCACCAAAGGCTAACACCCTTCCATCAACCAGAATTCGCTTCTCCTGTGGACCTGCCAGAAGTGTAAGAGGCAACAGAGAAAAACCGTATTTTCCTTCCTTACCTGTTTGCTTTTATAGAAAAATGAAAAGGCACAGGGATGGGTGTTTGGAGATGAGACTATTCTAATCCCTTTTCTCTTCTGTCCCCTGGGATTGAAAAAAATCCCTTCTCTATTGAAACGTAAAGTTGGGGTTTTGATGCAAACATTGTTCCTGGGTCTGGAAGAATTCAATCTCCCTTTTCTGTTCTGTGAACGTTGCAATGCCAGGCTTGTATTTCTCTACCAAGGCAGAAACTAACAACACCAGATGACAGAAGCGTACGCTGCCAAAAGAATTGTGTGTCTACTCATGGTAGTACAAAGGCTCCATTTCATTGTGCTAGAAATGACACGTACCAGGTAAGTGCTAATTAGCATACGCTTATAAATGCAACTCCGATATAAAAGGGGTGCTCGCAGGCAATCATTTCTGCTATGATTCTGCTAAGGAATAGCAAAGCTGGAGTCATGAAAAACCATGATTTTGAATTGGGTTTAGTGTGTTGCAGGAACCCAAATATTGTGGTTTGAAAGCCAGAGTTTATGGCCCACCATGTGAGAAACCAGGCAAGATTTGTTTATAAATGCCTCAATAAACCATAAATAAACAAGGTATAAATCCAATCTAAGATTGGGGGGAAGGGACAAGACTGAAGCAATTTTTTTTAATGCAGCCAAACCTAGCAGTGTTATCTGCACTTTTAAAAGGATAGAAATGTCCTTTCTACCTTTGGAAGAGACACCTGCCCAAGTGTTAGAGTTAATAAACATGGAGCTCGGGAGGAGATACTCAAGTCTAATGCTATTTGTCACCTCTTCCTTTTTGGGAAATATGCAAAAAAGATGTGTACTTCCACATGCAAAAATAATGAAGTTGTGCTATCCACTATCTTTTGGCAACATCAGAAAAGATTGCTGGGAGCGGCGTAATACATTTCTTCAACGGTACCTATATCTTGAGAATCACAATCCAAGAGAATGGTCAAGCTTCCATGACTACTATGTAGAAATACTGTTATTTCTACGCCTAATGACAAGGACACCACAATGTAGAACTTCCCCCAAACAATCCTAAGAGGTTGGTTTAATGCACAGAGGAAGTTATGCTTGTTAACACAGGAAACAGGGGTAGGCTAACTTTTGACAGCTAAGGGTTGTTGCTTCACATCTCGTGCTGGGGGCTTTCCCCTCCTGGTTTTAAGAGATTCTTTGCTTTTTTTTAAGGAAAACATTAAGTTTGTTTGTTTGTTTTTAAATGAACAAACATACTAAGCCTATTTTAAAGCTTATGTTTAGGCTTTTGAGAGTTTCCCATTTCAAATGTGGGGGTGGGGGAATCAAGCTGCCAATTTGGGGATTGCTATTGGCATCAGACCCTTAGTTAATGTTCTCCTAAGGAATCCATCACCATTTCAGCATCCTTAATCTGAGCTGTGCTTGGGTCAGAATTTTTTTTTTTTAATTTCAGAAGACCAAAAAGCAAAAATGAAAACCAAAACAGGGTAGCATATTGCTCCCACTTACCTTGCCATCGAACTTGGAGTATTCATTGAATGGATTGTTCAATTGCAAGGGACACTGTTCCAGTCGGACTGAGAGGATTGATGGCTTCATGGCAGCGTGGGGAGGCTTTAACTTGAAGTTCTTCTTCTCAAAGAGAAGGCCCAGCTCCTCAGCTGTGGTTCAAAGAAGGAGAGAAACGTCACAACATCTACCAGAATCTCCCTCCAATGCTTGAGAGAGCCAAGGGAAAACCAGTCTAGGGGGAACTGGAATTTAGCTATCGTTAGGTAATCAGATTATATCATTTCATTCACTTATGAGTTATCCAGTCCCTAAGCAACCACTCCATGTTACATGGACTTTTATGGGTCAATAACCAACAACTGCTATGGCACTGAGGTGGATGTGGAAAACTCTATATAGATGGTTGCAAATATCTAACCTCGAAGTATACAACTTGAAGTTCAGGGATGCTTGTGGATTTCCAAGGCTTGACCCACAGAGAGCTTCCAAAATTGGAGTTTCTAATGGCATAGAAGGGGACCTTTTGAAAGCAGGAGGCAACTAACAATGCACCAAGAGAAGATCTGGCTTTGGCATGACTGAGCATCAACTAATCCTAGGAATCAGGTACAACTTTGGCAGGTGTGCAGGATCAGCTGGAAGGAGCCTGGATAAAGCACGGGTATCTTTTTTAAAGAGATGAGGATGGGTGAACTTAACTCTCAAGACTTGTTGAGCTGTTGCTTATTACCATTGGTTTCTTCCTGGCAGAGTCAGTGTGGAATTGGAGAGGGTTTCCCACCACATCTGCTCCAGGAACGAGATGGCCCCAAACTCAATCAATCACCACTGGCAGATGAGCTTCCAAGTTGCCCACCTTACCTCCGCCTGGATTTGTGCATGTCCCTAAGATTTACATGCTGCCCCTCTCAAGGATAGGAACGGCTGCTCAGACAGATTGAGTGGGGACTTCCAAAGCTGGTGCAGAGGGGCAGGGGACTCATTTGTTAAATGGCAGAATTAAAACCTGTTAAAGTGGAGCTAGCTCACAGAGATGACAGCTTGACCCAAATATTGAGATGGAGGCGGCACAGGTGGGCCAGTGTTACAAAAAGAGTGAGAGATAACCCAACACAGCCATGGAAGATCTAGGTTAACTTGGAAGAGGAGGATTAAATTGTCATGATAGTCATTAAATTCACTATGGCAGAATAAGAACCGTTATGTGACAGCTTCTGGGCCAGCTATTTTACCTAATTTGAAGAGACCCATCTATCCTGGAAAAAAAAGAAAGAAATTCATATGTCACAATGATCTTGAGACACTACGCTGAGTTATTCTTTGGGGCTTGATGTTACCAGAACACCAGGTGTTGTGTTTCGTCAGCCTGGGTGAGAGGAGTGAGCATTTTAACAGGCAATTTTGCTCTTCAGGAAAAGCTTGGAAGACACTGGCTTATGATTCGCTTGACTGGCACAGATGCTGATTCCATCTCCAGAATTCTTCTCTGCTGAATGAAGCAGCATCTCTTTTGATTCAAGAGAAGTCCTGTGTGGTGCTGGGACCATTTGGGAAAATGTCATATGGCAGAAGAGGTCAGAAAATAGCACTCGAGATGGCTAGATTTGTCATTTGTTATGGAAAAGGTTTTACACTTTCTGGGTTCAGAGCCACAAAATTTGAGCGGAGCACTTCAAAAAAATAGGTAGGACCTTGACAATAATATAGAGGACCAAAATACAGTGACTATGGTGAATTATTTTCACTTACCATTTGTTAAATGTAAACAAGGAAAAAGTGGAGAGAATTTGCCGTGAAGGCTGAAAAGAGTCAGTTGTTAAGGCCAACTCCTAATCTGAACATCAGCTGATCTGCAGGGAATCTGAATGGATACACTTTAAAGGGATGAAGCACTGTGTAGATCTCTCCCTTACATTGAGGAATAGCAGCGTACTAAATAAAAGAATAGATTTGGCAATGGACACGCAAGGAAATGCTTCCCAGAAACAACACATATGGCAAGTTCCGAAGTTTTAACGGTTCCCAAGGATGAACCTTGTCTGATCCATCAGGAAAAGAGACATAAACCACGCCTCTCCAAAATACTCCAGACCTCCCCAAAATACTCCAGATTTTACCACCTGCGGTTATCCAGATGGGTTGGACTACGAGTCCCACCATCCTGCCTGCTCATTAGACTTTCTGGCTAGGGATGATAGATGCTGAAGTCCAGATGGGTAGCGTGCATGAATGGAGAGCACATGTTTTCAGGAGTGAACTCTTTAAAGGAATCTGCCCTGATGTTATTTGTCTTTTTGCCAAGAAACCTCCAAGACTGAGGAAAGAGTAGGAAATAGGAATTCGGATAAAATACCTAGAAACTAGATGCTTTGCTAACCCTTGCCTATTTTCTCTGACCGGATTGCCCAACATTACTCTTTTTTTCCCCCACACAACATTTTACAGACCAACAGCGTTACACATGAAACAACCTTACAAGTGAACGGTGAATAAAATAATATGTTTTTACCAGAATAGGATGTATTTCTCTCTTTCCATTGCACATTTTTGCATTTGATCTGATTTTGCCTCTCTTTCCTTAATCGTTCGAGTCTCTGAGCTTAGAAAAAGAAAAAAATATTACAATGTTAAGTTTGTCAATGAAAGTTTACTATAAACAAAAGACATAATTAACTACCTTTCTATGAATAAAGATGTTTTATGCTGCACATCTATGGGGGGAGGGGGTAATAAAATTTTAAAGGTGGCACCCCTGAAAAGCAAATACTAACAAAAACATGAAAATGTTCTTGATTTATAATTGAAATTAGAGGATATAAAACATTAATAGAGATCATAAAGATAGTATTAACATGGAAGAGAATAATAAAATGTGAAAACTTCTGTGATTAATATGACATTTCATTATATAAATCATTAATAACGGTCTTAAAGGAATTTTAATGCACAAATGAACTGAAGTGAATATTACATTACAGGAATAAAATTACTGTTATGAATTACTCTCCCCATTTCAAAAATTAAAGATAAATGAACTCAGACTAGACTATTAAAGTTTTAAATATAAAATCCTTTATCTAAAAAAAATCATGAAAATTATAAAATGTCAACGCTATATAAATTAGCATAGCTTTTTCTTCACTGTGCTGAAACAGTTTATAGGTAGTAAAAATAAATGATTTGTATCTGCACAACATTAGTCAAATCTTAAAAAATGAATATCATTTTTCCTCTTTACATATTTTTGAGCCCACATCCAAAACAGTCCACGCTCAAATAGGTGAAATATCAGTAACCAAGAGCGGGTGTCTTCTCCGCTGCTTTGAATTCTCCCTATGTTTTAAATGTCAGATTTATTCCAGGAGACAAAGAATAGCAGTTGAATAAACTGGTTAAAACTGGTTAAAAAAAGAATCTCTCAGAATGCACAAACTCCCAGAAAATGACATTTTGAGACTTGGGGTTCTTAGTCAAACTAGGCTAAAAAAAATAGGAGTGATTTGCCAAGCTCACGTACTTAAGAGCGCAACCCTGAATCGCTAGAAACTACATTGACTAGAGAGAGATTCTCATGTACGTGCTGTTTGATCTTTTAAGGCTTTGTACTCTGAACAACTAAGACCCGTTTGAACAGAAAGATATTAAAGAGGAAAAAGGACCGCTTAGTCATAGCATCCTTGATTTGACTGGAAAGCCTATGTTCAATCCGTGACATCCTCCAATTAAGAGGACAGCAGGCAAATGGGGCTGAAGAAAGACCTATTTGCTTGAGATCCCAGAAAGTCGCTACTGATCCAGTTGACTGGTATTGGCGTAGAGATGGAGAAAGAGCTCTGCATCCCAAGACAGCTTCCCAGCTTTCATAGTAACTTTGGGCCCTTTCAAATACTTATTAAAACGTTACTCATGGCAGGGAAATATACGCCAGAACTCTACAGGGTTTCTGTTTCAGGGTTTTAATTCCCCAGTCAATCTGCAGAAGGACAGAAATGTATGCATCTGCTAAGGAAGGATCCCAGAAGTAAATTAGTCTTCCGAACCGAGGGCTTCTAAGGAAAAGGTGGAAGATGGAACAGATTCCTGATCTACATTAGCAAGACTCTAGCAGTTAAAGCCAAATGCAGCTGTTGGAATACTTGAGGGGCCAAAAACAATTTTGTCTCAGCTGATCAGGTTACTAATTTGTTTCCGAGCTGAATTTCAAGAGTTGGGGCACTGGATTAGGGAAGACAGTTTTATTAGTTGGGGACTTTCACATTCCACAAACCTGCCTAAGCCTTAATATACGCTACAGAGGCCGTGTCTTCAAATCAGCTATTCATTTGTTTGAAATTAAATATATCCTGCCCTCTTTATGGTGATCAGAGAGGCTTGTGTCAAAACACACAAAAAAATAAAACATTCGGGACTGAGAAAACATTTGAAAGATTCCTATAGTTGGTTTTTCAAAAGTTTTGACTATCCCCAGTATAGTTTGTGAAGGAGGTAGGAGGTGAAGAAGAAGCTCTAGAGAAGGGTGAAGCGGTGCCTCTTCTCAGGTCAAGAAGTTCAGCATGGCCCCATCTGGCTAGTCATAGTTCAACACAACGCAGAGAGAACTTGAAGCTTTCCTTTCTCTTCCTCTCAGCCTCTTCTCAACCTTGGACCACGAAGCTACAAGACTTGCCAAGAGCCCATCAGGCATGGAACATAGTAGGGACGGGGTCCCAGGATACCTGGTCTTACCAGCTTTGCAAGTTTCGGCTGGCTGCAGACTGTGGAGTGTTTTTATTGGTGAGAGGATGCTATCCAAGGTCCTGAACTTATTACTGTAGTGCGGTTCTCTAATCTGATGTAAGAAACACAGCTACCCTTGGTATTAGCTCTGTGGCCTCTTTCCTTGGAGTATCCAGGGAAAGTGGGAGCTACCACCAAAAAGTCTTTATCATTGTGCATACAGCAAGAACAGAGACTGCACAAGTTCCAGTTCAGAGACAGGATTATTGAGAAGAAAATCATTAGACTGGCAGGTCTTCTCAATGGAAACCCATTCGGGACTTCATGATGACTCAGCAACCAGCCAATGGAAGAGGAGCCAGTCCAGAACTGGAGAATATGTCACTGCCAGGGACAAGCTAAAAGCTGCCATTTGGGAAGCTCACAGTACAGGGCTTCAGCCCAAATGTAATTTTTGGTTCTTCATTCAAATGGTTGTTGACAACCTTAGTCTAAATAGCTCAGGAACCTGGATCTGGACTGCAAGATCCTGCATGACCACTAGATGGTGGCAAAGAAACCTCTCACAGCTTGCTGCCATCCAATGGACATCTAGAATTTTGCAGCCCAAATTTGGTGACCCTAAACTAGTCTGATACTGCCCATTCTGACTGATGGCAATTTCCCAAGGACCTGAATACGTTTTTTTCCCAATTACCTGCTAACTTGGGGGGAAGGCCAGATGTAGGTTTTAGGTTAATTCCATCTAGTTCTTGAGCCAATGAAAGACATTAATTCAGACTTAGGATCAAATCTCTCTGTCATTTCTCTGAAGCTGGGGGAAAGTCAATGGAGGCCCCCATTCATGTTTGGGGGGGGGGGTTTGGCTTTGGACTTGCCTACTGCTTACTTTAGCTCCACCCAACACACAGTTCCCAACAAATAAGGGAACATGTCTTTCAGCGGGCAGGGGGGAGTTGCACACCCTTTGTTGCTTGATACCTTTAACTGGAGATGTCAGGAGTTGAGCAGGGTCCTCTATGCTGCCTCCTGCTTTACATCCCAGCCTCACCCTAGGAAAAGCCCCCAAGATATTCTCTGCATCATTCACCTGTGTTTGAGCGCCTTCGAATGCCAAAGTCCCAGCTTGAGGTAATGTCCACTGACTGAGAATACACGTAACCCTGAGGCTCGCCGTTGCTGCCCTGTCTTTCTGAACTGCTGTCCCCGTTGGCCGAAGCTGGCTGGAATCTTTCCAGGTCGACATCGTGGTCAATGAGGACCATTTCGCACATTCCCGTGTCATCGCTGGTCACATGCGACTGTCGGATGTGAGCCAGGATAATGGTCGGGTTGTCCAAGAAAGCCATCCTATCCCACGTTCGGCTGCCTTCCCCTACTATCTTCTTTGATCCATGCTGAACCACCGTCTTCTCTACCTGCTGGAGAAAACACAGAACATGCGCTGGAGAGGACAGCTTAGGAAATGACTTGATGTCAAACCAGATCATTGGTTCCCCTTAAACGAGGGAGCTCGAACTCTCCAGATCTTATAGGCTACAATTCCAATAAATTCTTGGCCATACTTGCTGTGGCAAGTGGGTGCTAAAATCCACAACATCCAGAAGGTGCCAGATGGCCTACCCCCATCTACAAAGGATCTACAAAGGAAAGCCCTTTCAGTTCAACTCGGATCTCCAAAGCAAGAGTTCAGCCATTCATCAATGACCATTAAATGGAGCGTCCAAATGCAGTAGCACTATACCCCAGATGATGAAAACTCGAAGGAAATAACTAGCAAAGACCACCAACTCTATATTCTGCCGGTGACGTTTGACGGCTTTTAGAGATGAAATGCTGCCCGTGGTGAATATTTATGGCAGCCCAACAGAGCTGCTCTTATTCAGTGCCTACAATGGGCTACTCTATCCAACAATTCACATTTTATCATATGCAGCAGGCGCTGTATATCTGTCAGCACCCTTTACTTGCTTCCAAAATCTCATAAAAAGAGCTGCCACCCAATTAAAGAGCTCTTAGTAATTGATTGCATTTGTTTATATTTGGGTAAATATAAAAATTCTGAAGAAAAGCAAAATATTGTAGTGTCTAACAAAAGGAAATTCTTCTTGCTTCCTGTTCCTCGCAGTTTGGGGCCAGTACTTGCACTAACAATTAGAATAATATTGCTGCTAATAATAACAGAATCATTGTCCAATCGATTCAGTTGGGATCCACTCCTAGCCCAATCAAACATTTTTAACTCTGTACTAATTCAGGGTGGGCAGAAGATAAATCGAGATCTGCCACTACATCTCTGGGTGATTTAAAGCCTTCCATTGGCCGCACAAGTTTTTGACATTCAGGAAATTTATTTCCTAACAAGAACATTCAATCATTGGAGCCCCCAAATGCAGGAGAATACTGCAGAAAGAAGTTTGTTCTATAAGCCTTCTTAAACTGGCCTTGCATGAGGGGGGAAGCATGTAGGTGGGGAAAAAAGTCTGCAACTCCAATTCTTTGAAATCCAGAAATTGCAAGCATTTCCTTGGCATTCTGCATATATGTGTGTGCATATTCACAGGCATCACACAAATTATCTGTAAATAACCTGCATACACTGTAGTTGCACTTCATGTACTGACAGTCAGATTGCTGGTTTTGGGCCATAAGACTGTTACAGAAGAACTTAACAGAAATCATGACCTTAAAAGCCACCCTACTGAATAATAAAGATCATCCCTATTAAGCCCACAGTCGCCAATTGCTGGTCCATTGGGTGGTTCCGAGATGGCTTATGATCAATCTTCAGTGCCTGGCACTCAAATGATAATTTCTGAAAATGCAGTGAGCCTAATGAATACACTGTCCTCAGATCAATGATGGCCACCAGATCAGGTATCAGAAAACTAGACAAATTCACAAAAGAGCAATCTTTCAACAGCAACTGGCTTTGAGGGCACCATAGTACCTTCTGAACCAGAGACACTTTATCTGACATACCAGTCCCTGAGAAGGGGCTGGAGAAGAGAGTTATTGCCCTCGGCTTATGCTTGTGAGCTTCCCAAACACACATCTACAGTGTGATTTAGGAATCTGGACTGGATAAGCTCTTGGTCTTGCTGAGCGCAGCTCTTCATAAACTTGTGTATGGTTACATTAAATGTCCTGGTCCCTTTTCAAATCGACAGCAGGGTACTCAATCAGATGCCTCAACTAATAAAAAGAACAAAGCCATTCTTGGCTACTTCATCCCAGGGCAAATGCTCAGCCAAAAGCTCTTTTTATGACACTGGTCCTAAGAAAAGGAAAGTGATTTTGCCTTGCCAGGGCTAATGTCTTGTTTTTATAAAAGCAACAGCTTGAAGCACCTCGAAGACCTAGGGCTGGGGGTTGGGGAAGGAGGGGAAGCCAACTCCCAGTCAAAAATTACTGCTGCCCCATCAATGCGTCATATAAATGCTGGCATGTTAATTGTGTATTTATAAGATTGTTAATGGTTAGTTAATTTACCTCCCACACTATTATTGTGCTTGAAAATGATTTAATGTCTGCCAAGGGAATTAACAACATGCTAACAGCAGATGCAAAGGCCCAATTATTTATTTATTTCCATCTTTCTGTGCACTGAACCCCGACTTCACACTGTTTATGGCCTTGGAGGCTGAAAGGATATGGGCTTCCTTAGTAGTTCTCACACTCAGTTGGCACTCTTTCAACCTTACAGTAGTCAAAGGGGAAATGGGAATGGGAGGGAATATAATTTGTAAATATACTATTTCTGTGCCAGGACTCATGCTACCTCTGGCCACAGAGGCTGTGGGCAAAACAACAGCAGAGAACCAGCAAGCATCACAGCCTGCTTGCAAGATTTCTGGTGGAGTCAAACTGTCTGTTTTTGGAAATAAATGGCTGGGTTAGTTTGGACTAATCCCAAAAACAGAGGAGGCAAGGTGATGTTTCTAGGCACCAAGGTTCTCAGAGAAGCTCCCATGATGTCTGCTAGGCTCCCTACCACACTGGACTTGATTTTTTTTTTTAAAAAAATGGAAAATATGCATGGCAAAACAAAGTGGAAACTCTAGCTTCCTTATATCTGAGAATGCTTCTGAGCCTCTTATTGGTCTCATAGACATTCTTAAAGATGGTGGTTGGTTAAGCCCAGTACTCTGTTCGCTTGGAAGCACTTTGACTTCCCACCTGCCTAGAAAAAAAAGAAAGAAACTCAATGGAAACAGTAGGAAGCATCCGAGGAAGCTGGAGGAAAGGAGGACAGCCAGTTGGCCAACCTGGTCTTCAATAACGGACACTTCATAAGTGATCACAACCACTACCACCACAGCCAGTTTGTGAATACACCTACAACACGCCTCACAACATTTTAAATGTATCCCCTTGGCCAAACAAAAAACAAAACTAACCCCACTTCTTCAGTAAGACCTCTTTGAGTTAAGTCTGAGTTCTGGTGGCTTCACAGACACACCCAGGTAGTTTTTTTTTTGACAGCAACATGCAAATAGTTTGCCATTGCTTTCTTCTCGGGCGTTTTTAAAAATGTCTTTTTCAGCAATGTTAATAAGTAGAAGAGAAAAAGAGATCTCTTGACTCCTGAGACAAAATTTACTTTTAATGGCTGCATTTGAAAGCAACGCGCAGCAAGGAAGTTCCTGGGAATCAAATCAATCCATGATAGTCTCATCACAATGCCAGAAGCATTCTATTATATTGGGGGGGGGGGGGGGGTTACAGGAAGACACAAGAGGGAAAGCTTACAATTACAAACAGTAAATTGGAATCTGAAAAATAATCTCTATTTTCCTTAAATTCTCTCAGAATTATAGCCCCTGGTTCCATATGTTCAAAAAAGGGCAAAAAATGATTATCTTCAGTGAGCTGGGTCTCCCAAATCATTAATAAAGAATGGACTCGCAGTGCATCTTAAGGGAAAAAACGGCATTTTTTCTCATACAGATACTGGTTCAGAGAGGTGTGTGATATTAGCAATAGCAAACCAAAAAAAAAAATGTTTCTAGCAAGAACACATCAACAGTTTGTCAGCTACAGCTTGTGCAGTTGTTTGAATGGTAGAGTAAAGACTCCTGTTAACGGCAGGATTGGATTGTTTTTAAACCAGTGTCTCCCCAGCCCAGCTGAAACCTCTTTCGAGCAAAAGATGCTCTCTCCTATTGACATAAGGCTCTTTGCCATGTATCAGTTCCTATGTATTTGACACAAGAAGAGAGACAAAGAGTGGGAGAAGAAAGGTAGCTCCTTTCAGCGTAACTGAAAAACACAGCCACTGGAAAACAGCTTCACAAATTAAGCAGGATGGAATGCTTACAGGCACACATCTACCAAAAACAGTAGAGCTATTACCTATTATGAAAGAAATCCTAGCAGAGCACCTCTCTCAGTCTTCCCCCATCTGGGTGTCCTCCAAATGCATAACTGGAGAATTCCAACTACTAGCATTCCCCAGCCAGCTTTGTCACGGCTGAAATTTCTGGGCGTTTCAGTCTACACAACTGGAGGACACCCATGTTGGCTGTCTTACTCAGATGTCTGTCGACTGATCAAATCTGTCTATAAATGCTCATAAGGAGGAGGGGAGGGGAAATCCCTTATATTTTGTCTACGTTAAAGGAGATGTTCCTTCCTGTGATTGTGTGCAAGAAGCCAGAGTTTTGCATGCTCCCGAAGAACCTGATAAGGGAGCAGATTACCGATAGTGACTGGAAGGGTTTTTTTTTTAATACACACACACACACACACACACACACACACACACACACAGGGAGTGGGGCCGAATATGGAAAGGTGATCATAACCACGCTCAGGTTGCAGTCATGGACTTCTCTGCTGTCCATATCTCGTCCAAATTGTGGTGTCTCAAGAAAAAGGCTCCTCCTTCAACAATGTGAGTTATCCCCCATGAATATTTTAAGCAAATAAATAAGTATTTGGAGAGGAGGGGGAGGGAAGAAACCACCACACTTATAAATTAGGCCAACAAATCCGTTTCTCGACTCCTGCCTGCAAAGAGCATTCTATCAATAGAGCGAAATGCTAATCTCCTAATTAACAACCTAATTAGGTAATTATGCCTTTGCAGAGGGACGCCTAAATGAAATATGACAACATGGTCACCTCTTTATATGGCACCTGTGGGCCTTTTCAGCTGTCACTGCGAAGAGTGCAACATCAATTGGAACAGATGACAAAGTGATGTCATTTTTCATTCCAATATTGCTCTGAACAGTACAGGATGGGAACAGTTTTTGTTTTTTTTTAAATGCAGCATCTTGTCTGATTCAGCTGCATTTGAGGTATCTTGCTTCATTCTTTGAAGCCATACTTTATGCCTTCACACTGACCGGATTCACATGTTACACTACACCACCACACTTAACTGTGATGTATTGAATAAACCATTAATGGCC